GAAGCGGCGCGAGACCGGGCAACCCGGCAACATGCCTGGGCGTGGAGCTTTTTCCTTTCCGACGGCGCGTTCGGTTCGGCAATCATTGCGCTCAACCGAACAAAGGATCATTTCTCTCCGCGCTTCATGTTCGGCATTGCCGCAGGGCCCTATCTCTCCTGGGTGATGGGCACGGCAATCGGAGCGCTGCTGGGCACTTCGCTGGCCGCATGGCCGGCCGTCGATGCGGCCATGGGATTCCTCATGCCAGCGCTATTTCTGGCAATGGTGCTTTCGCTTTTGACCAAAGAGCATGTCCCCGTGGTGATCGTCACCGCATGTGTCACTTTACCGTTGATCGTCCTCGTTTCACCCACGGTGGGAATATTGGGCGGCATGATCGTTGGCGCGCTATCGGGCCTTTTGATCCGGAGGCGGTCATGAACGCCGAATTCCTTATCGTTACGCTGCTCGTCGGGCTTGGTACCTGGCTGTTGCGCTTCTTGCCGACGCGCTTCATGCGCGGCACGGGGGATCCCGATGCTCCGCTGAGCCGGTTTCTGGCAGCAACCGGACCGGCTGCCATCGCCGCTCTTTATATCGGAGCGAGCCTGCCCATGCTGTCGCCCCAATTGCACGTGATTGCGCCGCTGGTACTGGGGTCGGGAGCGGTGACCGCGATCTATTTCTGGCGCCGCGACGTCTCATTGGCAACGCTGGGCGGGGCAATCGTTTACGGTATCGTTTTTGGATTTGTGTGACGGGACCGGCCATGGTGCTGCCCGGAATCCGATGTTAGGTTTCATTGGCTAAATCTCACAGGAGGCCGATAATGAAATCCTTTGTGCTCGCCGCTTGTCTGGCTCTTGCCGCGTTGCCCGCCAGTGCCGTGGAAACGTCCATGCAATTCGTGCTCGATTTCGAGGGCAATGCCCAGCGCGACGTGATGACCTATCAGTGCGACGGCATCGAAGAGCCGATGAGCGTGCAGTACATCAACGCCCACTCCACCTTTCTCGCCATTGTGCCGATCGAGGGAGAGGCCATGATTTTCGTCAATGTCATCGCGGCCTCTGGCGCGCGCTATGTTTCAGGACAATATGAATGGTGGTCGCGCGGCAACGAAGCCATGTTCACCGACATCATGGATGGCACCGAAGAGAACGAGGCCGAACCCATCACCTGTCACGCGGCCCAGGACATACCCTGATCGCTGGCGCGTTTCTTGCTTTGGATGCCGGCAGCGGAACGTATTGACCAAGGAGCGGGAATGCGAGCAACAGGTGTCAAAGCAAACGGCCAATGGCAAGGCGCCGTCGCCGGGCGCGTTGAGTTGGCTCACGATCAGCGCGCGCTGCGCCGCAAGCTCGTGACACTCGACAATGGGCTCGATGTCCTCGTCGACCTCCCGCAAACCGTGACGATGGAAACCGGCGATGCGCTCATGCTCGAAGACGGTCGATTCGCCGAGATCGTCGCGGCAAAAGAGCCG